TGATGAAGCTTCTGACAGTTCAAACAAAGAACAGCTATCATTAGTTATACGGTTTGTTGATTCAAAGTTTAATATAAGAGAGGAATTTATCAGTTTTTTACATTGCACAAATGGTGTTACTGGTCAAGGATTATTTGATATTTTGTTAAAAAGTATTTCAGATTTTTCTTTAGATATCATGAATTGCAGAGGACAGTCATATGATGGTGCTGGAGCAATGGTTGGTCACACCAAAGGATTGTCCTCTCGTATTTTAATTCTAAATGAAAAAGCTACATTTGTTCATTGCTATAGCCATAGGCTTAATTTAGTTATTTGTGACTCGTGCAATGTGCAATATGTCAAGAATCTTCTGGCATATGTTAAAGAGGTATCATATTTTTTCAATCTTTCACCTACCAGACAACAAAAGTTAGAGGAACACATTGAATGTACTGTTCCAATAGCTGTTAAAAAAAAATTAAAAGATGTTTGCAGAACACGTTGGGTGGAAAAAGTAAATGGTTTAGATACTTTTCAAGAACTTTTTATTCCTTTGGTCTCTTGTCTTGAAGAAATGTCTTTAAATGCCAATAAGAGTTTTAATCATTCAACAGCTTCTAGTGCATCATCCCTTCTGAAACTAATTACAGGTTTTGATTTTATTGTTGCTATGTGCATAACAAGAAATGTGTTTGACTTAACTCTTCCCATAACGCGAATGTTGCAGTCAAAGAGTAATGATATTTATGATGGTTTGAATCTTATTCAGGCGTTAAAAGATGTTGTGATTTCACTTAGAAATATCGTTGATCAACACCATAAAATGTGCTATGAACAGGCTTTAAAAATTGCACAAAGTATTAATGTAGCTGAAGCAAAGCCAAGAACTTCATTTATTTCCAAAAACAGAGATAATACTCCTTCTGAATCTATTTCTGATTATTTTAAGTTAGTTATCACGATTCCTTTATTAGACCATCTAAGTGTTGAACTAGACACAAGGTTTGATGATACTACCTTAAAATGTTATAAAGCACTTGTGCTAGTTCCTACAAAAATGATTTCAGTAGTGCAATGTTCTCATGACACCAGTTGGAAAGACTCCATCATATCTTTCAGTGACTTTTACGCAACAGACTTACTGAATCCGCTTGCTTTGTCTGGTGAGCTTGATTTATGGGAAGCCTTCTGGTTAAATTTTGAAGGAGATGTCCCTTCTAATATTTCCGAGACGTTAAAAGCGATAAATTTTCCTGGTTTTGAAAACATAAAAGTTTGTCTTAAGTTACTTGCTACCTTTCCATTAACTTCATGTGAGTGTGAGCGGACATTTTCTTCACTTCGGCGCCTAAAAAATTATATGCGAAGCACCATGGTTCAGGACCGTCTAAATGGTTTAGCATTAATGAATATTCATTCAGAAATAGTTATAGATATCAATAAAGTCATTGATAAGTTTGCCACTAATGATCGTAGATTAACTTTCAAATAAATATAAAATATATTAAAAAAAATTTTTTCTTTAATAAAAAAATGCAAAATACTAAAAAAAAACAGTGCAAAAAAAGTCAGCTTCTTTTGCCAATGGTAAAAAAAACGGCTATTTTCATAGCCACACACTTTTATAAAACATTATTTGGCATAAAGGAATTATTAACATACATTGAGTTGCATACATGTTGGTTTCAGGTATATCGTTTTTTTTATGCTATGTTGAAATGATTATATTGTAAATGTTTTTATCTTTTGAACTGATTTTTTCAGATTTTATATATTTTGCAAGCATCAATAGAATTAAGATTTTAAAATCTACTTTTGCTATGCAAAATAAAATACTAAGATTGTGGCAATTTCTGTATATATAATTCAACTTTAATTATTATAATATATAGTTATTTCTGTTATTTATATTTGTTACAATATAAACAAATTATATAATTATTTACAATAAAAATATAAAATGTGTAAATATAAATCTAGTTTGTCATAATAAGTTTGTAAATATTATGTAAACATAATTTTACTATGGTAAGGTGCCCAAGCGATATCCTTGCGTATTTTTAGGCCTATATATATATATATATATATATATATATATATATATATATATATATATATATATATATATATATATATATATATATATTAACAGGGCCGTCACTAGGAGAGGGGGGTGTCTAACCCCTTACCAAAACTTTGTTGAAAAATTAGTCGGCAAATTTGGACTTGTAGTCTGCAAGTTTGGAACTATAGTCGGCATATGTCAGTAAACGAGAATCATACGTCACCTTCTCCCCCCCTCCTCCTTTTTTTTCTTCGGGACGGCCCTGTAATATATCCCCTCTAACTCCAGAATAGTTGAGGGGGGGAGGGGGAGAATGAAATGTTGCTCGTAAAAAAATCAGATGTACCCAAATAATTTCCTGGATCCGCCCCTGTATTATATCTATTTATTTTATATATATATATTTTATATATATATATTATTTATATTATATATATATATATATATATATATATATATATATATATATATATATATATATATATATATATATATATATATATATATATATATATATATATATATATATATATATATATATATAAAACTTCAAATATAACATATATTTGAAGTTCTATATTTTGTAAACAAATATAACAAAAATTATTATAACAAAAAACAGTTTAAAATTAAAAAAAAAAGAATCCAGATATGGAGGGCTAACCTTAGGCAAAATTAATAATATAATATAAGATTAATAAAATAAAATAAAATAAAGATAAATTCCAGAAATAGAGAACTAACCTTTATTATTATATTTCTTGTTACTTAACCTAATACTACTTAACCTTAATAAATAATCTAATATTACTTTACATGACGTGCCTATCCCAGAAAAGGAAAGAATCCAGAAATGGAGGGCTAACCTTAGGCAACATTACTTTACACTACGTGCCTCTTAAGAAAAGGAAAGAATCCTGAATTGGAGGGGTAACCTTGGGCAAAATGACAGATTACAGATGAAGTGCAAAGTCCTATGGCTTACCTAATCGTTGGTGCACTTTATTAAGTAAATAAGGCTTAAAATTACATGTCTAACTTATGAACAAAATAGCCAAGGCAACATTTGTAAAAATTTCTGCTAAAAATGGATACTGCAAACGCAATACAAAATTTAGTTATTATTCAATGATATAAATAGCGGCGCCACTCGTAAAAAAAGCTGCCTGGGGCGTGTCCGCCCCACCCTTGCTACGCCTTTCACTTTTCATATTGACTATACTTAAACCCTAGAGAGGTTAGGGGGGACGTCGATAATTGATAAGATTTCGCATCACCAATTTAAAATTCTAGATCCGCCCCTGTAATGCCATGCCTTGTTTCTTTTTTCACAATTTCGTGTTTGCAAAAATCAAACAGCTGCTTTGCTTTGCCAAAAGCCAACTCATATTCAATATAAGTTTGTACAATTGTTCATCTCTAATCCCAAGTTTTAAAAGTAGCTTGCATGTATGCAATTTGTTAATATAGTCAGAAATGATGACAAACAGCAGAAGTAAAAACAAAAATTAAATAATATAAAGGAGGATAAAGAACTTTCTCGTAAGAAAATATAAGTTAAAGTCATCCATTTCTAAGATTTCATAGGACTTTCAGATTTTGGGGGTGGGGGTTGGGTGGGAGATGCATATTCCCCTTGCCTGGATTAGTCTCTGGTGACTTAGAAGCATTTTGTGTCGAGCGGTTTTATGCTATATGTTATTGTTTTTTATGGTTGTATTTTATTTTTATGATTGTGTTTCATGGTTGCGTTTTATATTGTTTTACGATGTTGTTTTTGTAATTTTTTGTGTTGATAGACAACTCGGCTTATCTTTTTTTTTTGAACATTATATTTTGCCGTTGAAGAAATTTTAAAACCTATATGAATTTCAAATTAAATTAATGGCTGGAGCAAGAAGAAGACATTATTTTTGTCTTATCGCCAAGCACCGTTTTACAATATATATTTTTCAGAAAATTTTTTCCAAGAGTATAAAGAGTAAACTAAGAACGAATAAGAAGAATAAAATAGATGTTTACAAAATTTTTATATTAAAATAAGATCGTCTTACCAGGTAATACCGTGAAAATAAATTGGATAAAACAAAAAAATAATAATAATAAAATAAAAATAAAAAGAAATAAATAAAAGGAACTAAATAGTTGATGTAGTGACCTAGATGATTTTATTTTATTGATCTATTTTGAAAGAAACAAGATAAATCAAAATCTGCGTGTAATAAACACGAATAAAAACTTTGATTAAATTTTAAACTTATTAAGTAAAAAATTTCACAACAACGACACGCAATTCTGAATTGAGTAAGAACTCAGTTTTGAGTGAGATTTTGTTGTTTTCGGAAATTCTTGTAAAATACCTGTAACATATTTCTTTAAAAAGAGTTTTAAATTTTTTTGGAGGCAATCCTTATTTTAATTTATACAATAAGTGTAAAACTACATGAATGTTAAGTTTGAGAATATTTATAGCACTAACTCTTTTTAATGGTGTCTATCGTTAACAATGATTATGTGGTAGTTTAAATACTGAAACTCGCGGCTTCTTACAGTTCAATTAAAGCCAAGAAAGTTTTAGAATAAAAACATAATTTTTATATTATTGTCATTTTTTATCTTCAGCAATGTAAATAGTTCACTAAAACAATCTTATAAAGTAAGTTTCTTATTTATTATTTATTTATTTTAATTTTTTAATTTTTTTAATTTTTTAATGAATTAACAGAGTAAATAACACATTATTGCGTATCAGTGTTTTCAATTATTTTATTCTATTTTTCGATTTTTATTAATTATTTTATTCCATTTTTAGAGTTTCTGCTTTTATGAATGATAATACTGTTATTAGTATTAAATATTTCGGGAATTTTTCTATAACCGTTAGATCACACTGTAAATCAAGTCAAATGTGATAACGACTCAAAAGTTATTGCGCCCGATCGGTTTGTATCAATATGCCCAACTGGTTAATGTAGTCCATTTGTAGCATTTTACTGACAATCTGTTAAGTATTCAATAATTATAAAATTGTATGTAAATTGGATTCCACGATTCCTTTATTCATATTTGCATGAAGTAATAAATAAGATCACCCTTAATTTTATTCTTTAAAAACAAGTTAATACGTTAAAATCATTGTCTTAATACCCAGCAAACATTCTATGGCGGAATTTCAGTCGACCTATATAGATATTTTCAGCGGTTCAATGTAGTTTTGCTCGTCAGTTACTTAGTAGACCGTTTGTGGCAGCCGCCATTAACGGTCTTAAAATCTACTAAAATAATGTTATCACGTAAAATAAATTATTCCAGAGAACCCTGACAGATTTTTTTTTAAAAGGCACTTACTTCTTTTAAAAAATTATCTTTTTAATTAAAAACATTTTCGTCTATTTTTAAGTTTTTTTTTCCATAATCCATAAATTTTTGAAGAAGTGGAAGCAAGTAGTTTTTGGTAATGAAAGTAACTTTGAAGTAATAAATAAAAAAGTAAAGTTCTTGTTAAACGATTTAAATCGAAAAAGTATACTGATTGCTAATTTTTACCGAGGTTCAAAAGTTACGGCAAAGTGCTGGTGTTTGGGACTGCTTTAATTTAAACGGAGTAGAAGTGTGTAACATTTATACAGGCCGAATCAACCAAAATACATATATAGAGACGCTAGAGAACTGCAAGGTCCATCAGTGCACATGCTGATTGATCGAAACAAATGGTGGCAATTTCAACAAGATTTGGCGCCTACCCACACAGAAAAAAAATTAAGTAAATTTATTGGCCTGGCGAGCTCAATCATTAGATTTGAATCCAATCTAATCTATTTGGGCTTAGATCGAAAAAGAATTAGTCAAGGTGCAAATACAATCCATAAATAGCCTAAAGTAAGAGTTAGATACCACTTGGAGAAGAGTTCCAAACAAAATCTGCAAACATCTTGTAAAATCAATGCAAAAAGCATGTGCTGCTTGCAAAAAAGCTAGAGGGATATTTTAAATACTAGCTTTGATGTTATTTTTGTTGATTTAATTTTTTATATAACTTTTCTTGATATTTTTTGTTATCATATTTGATAACGTTTTTATGTACAATTTTATGTTTGAGTATGCCATCCAAGATGCAAGATTTGATTAAAATTATTCAATATCTTTTTTACTTTTTATTTTATGGAGTTTAAATATGCTTTAAGCAACAAAATTTTATTGCGATAATTTTTTTTTTTCGAAAGCACTGTATATAACTGCTTTTATGGATGTGAATCTTTATTTAGGTAATATAATAGCGGTAATATAATATATTACCGCATCTGTAGTTTATATTATATTACCGCTTTATTTAGGTAATATAATATATACTACAGATGTTTGTTCAGTGCAAGAATAGCAGCTTCACGAACCTCTCGGTTAGTTTTGTGATTATTTTTAGATTATTAAATAAATAGAGATAGTTTGATGGTGCATTGGTTGCAGAAGGGGTGGCTAACCATGTCTTTATGTAGAATAGAGCACTAAATGTCCAAATACGACGCTTTTACTTCATTTTATCTTGATCATAATTCAGCTGGTCACCATAGACATACATCTTACCACTATATATTATAGTTGCCATCCAGCGGGCATGATGGTGTGTACCAGGTTTTAGTTAGTGCACCCCGCGAGGAGGCGTTCCTCCTTAAATTATTAGGGTGAGTTCTGCACATTCTCTGTAATTATCACGAGACTGCTGTCTCCCTCTGCTGAAGTCAACATTTGTCGCAAAAAGTTAATAACTTTGTCTTTCTGCTGTGAAAGACGACAATCAGTGATAGGTAAAATTTTGAATCTTGATCAAATTTTAGCCGCTATTCTGCTGCTTGTAAGCACCACCCTATGAAATTGTAGCTGTTATTTTACCAGCTAATAAAATTAGGCGATATGCAATTGCTGATTTTTTCCACTTTCGGAATGGATGCATTGCGTAAAAGAATGGCTCTTTCGTGTCAATATGCCCAACTGGTTAATGTAGTCCATTCGTAGTATTTAACTGACAAGTCTGTTAAATATTCAATAATTATAAAAGGTTTTGTAGCAGATTCAGATGCGTTTTCAAAATCTTTATTTGTAGAATTGTCTGAACTGCATGTAACACTAGAGTCATCTACAGATTACAAGTCTAGACCAGGACTTTAAGTTTCAGGTTTTGTGCTATTTGTTGCTGAAAATATTTTGTCTTCTTTTTTCTTCAGCGTATTCACTAAACCTTTTTTTTTGCGAAAGTTTGCCGCAAGTTTAAAACTGTGAAATTCTTATTCATAAAACTTGCGCAGTTGCGTTTAACAAGACTCACGTATGTTTTTTGGAAGGTTCAGCGGTAAAAAATAGATATTCACTAAGATGAAATGGTACTCACCAAACTTTTAAATACTTGGTCAGCTCAATTTAACCTTTTAGCGCCTAATATTTCCATATGGAAACACTGCAAAAAGATAATATTAAAATTAGTTTATATTTTGTGTTATACTAGTTTGTATTGTGTACTATCTTTAATTTGAATGTTGATATCTTATTTGTATCAAATTTGGTACCATTTTTATGAAATATAGTATATTTTTTTAAATTTATCAAAAACACTGAAATGGAATTAAAAATAAAAATTTCATTTTGATTTGATGCAACATATTCATAAATACTTTTTTTAAAAATTTGTCTTATAATTTTTTAAAGTACGGTTTTTATATATTAGTAAGCATGTATAAGTGGCTCAGTCATTGTTTTCGAAAATTCCTAAAAATCAGGCAAAATTTATTTGTCAATATCCTAATGTTCCTATATAGAAACACTACTAAATTTTAGGTTAAGCAACGAAAGTTACGTTAGCTATGAGCTGCCTTAACTTTGACGTAGCGTTAAAATCACTAAATATTAGAAATGGTGTAATGCTATTATGATTCATATACAACTATATTGTCAGATTGATATAGAATCATATTATAATATATACAATTTTTCTATATAATTTGTATATATAATAATAAAGTTAAGACTAATTATAGATATCAACACAAGTATAAATGCATCATAATAATTTAACAATTTAAAAATTTAACAAATAATTTAAATGCATCATAATAATTTAAAATCCTATTAACTTAGTAACATCTTTATAATAAAGATGTTATATTATTATAAGTTAAAGTAATAAAACATGTATTATAGTATAATGATAATAAAGTTAAATTTTTGTATAACATTATCAATTTATTATGTTATAATAGTAATATAACAGTATAAAGTCGAATCTTAATATATTTAGAATATATGCATTATGATGGGATACCATTAATAAATGTTGATATAATACCTTAATGACAACCATTTCGATGATATATTAATAACTAATTTAAAGTTAATGTGTTTAATTTATATATATTAGGATGTTATTATATTATTAATTTAACATAACATCTTATTATATAAATAATAGTAATATTATTATATAAAATAAGATATAGTATATTATCTATTATTTATAGAATAAAATATATATTGTATATTTTATAAGATGCTATATTGGTACAATAAAGTCATAATTTTGGTAATATATATAATTATTGAGTTATTAAATAATAAAAAACCAACTATATCTTTATAAATATTAACTAAACAATGTATATATTAACAAAAAAACAACTATATCGTTAAAAATATTCTATTTTGCAGTTTTCTGTTAAATGGTAAATATCTGATTAAGTATAACAATTTCATTTAGTTGTTTAATGGCTTAATTTAGTTTTAGTTAAAGGGAAGTTGGTCAAAATCAAATCTGGCGTTAGGCTCAGCATGTTGCTTTAAATGATTAGTCTGATGAAAAATGTCTTTAAACATTTCATTTGTTTAAAAATGAATAGAGATATTACTAACAAATTAAAAATGATTTGTCACCAATCACATTGAGAAGCAACCCAATTTCTTCGGAAGCAAAAATAGTAGTATCAATGAGGGTTTTATCAAAGTAACAGGGAGTTTTCAAAGAGTAATTAGTAATAGTTATCAGTCATATCAAAAAAAATTAGCTACAAAAAAAGAATAATCTTTTATAGTTAAATAAGCTTGTTATTAATGGACTGTTACAAATGAAGTTTAAAAGAGTTGATTTACAGACGAATAACTTAAAAATAGCTTCTTTAATTTTTTAGAGATGTTGTCAAAAAGTTTTCTGGATAAAGATTTTTATTTTTCCTAATTCTGAACTAAAAAAGACATAGGAATATAATCCTAATGCAGGTTTTCTTTTTTCTTTTTTGCTTGTTAACAATCCTGACTATTTAATCAGCCAACTACACCAAAGAAAATATATTTCAATAAAGTTTACCTTCAGGTAGATAGAGATGTGAAGCAGTCTTTTAGTCATCTCTAAAAGAGAGGTAGCGCACTCTAGTGCTCCTAACATATGCTCACCCAAAAATATACTGAAAAATATATTTTACGTGCATTTTACTGGAAAACCTTTGCAATTGCTTAGGATTAGAAATTTCAGATAAAAATGGCGACGACTCTTTAGCATCTAACTATAGGCCTATATTCATACTTACTTGCTTTTCAAAACTTCTTCAACATATTATGTATGATAGATTACATAAATCATAAACTTTGAGGACAATGATGAAGATGATGCACAAGATATTCAGGCTGAATTAACATAAGTTTATATACTTTTTTTGCATGTAAATTTTTCTTATTATATATTTGTAAATATTGTATTAAATATTGTAATAAAGAACAAAAAAAAAAAAAAAAAAAAAAAAAAAAAAAAAAAAAAAAAAAAAAAGGACTAATAACGGAAAAAAAAAACATTAATGCTAATGTGTAAACATAATTAGTGTAGTGATAAGTAATAAACATCTCCTCAGAGTCGCGTCTATTATTACTGGCGTTTCGATGAGGATCAGCATTTATAACTAGTTTATCCCGTCAGACAAACGTCATCGCCACTTATGCTTTACCCCGCGACTTACGCCTATTCCATTCTGCAGTAAAAAAGGACTCACTACAAATAGCCAAAACCCAACCAACCCCAAATTTGTAAAGCACCAATATTTTTTTTGATGATATGATATAAAAAGTATAGATTTACTGAACAAACAAAAATAAAAATAACTAAATAAAACACTTACCGTACCACCAAAAGAAAACATGAAAACAAAATAAATTAAAATTCTAATAGAAACATAAAAATATTAATCAATTTATTTTAAGAAATAAAACCAAATAGGTATTATTAGCATAAACAATTAACAATAAACAAGCCAAATAAACAATAAACAAGCCCAAGATAATCAGAAAGCAGTATACCTCATTAAAATTTTTTTTTAATAAACAAAACAATACCCTTAAGCCAAATCGACTTTAGATTATTCAAAAAACAAAAAAAAAAAAAAAAAAAAAAATAAAACTATTAGTTTACAAATCGAAGGCGATAACATATTGTTAAATGTAACATGGGCGAATGTTACAATGATTTTTTTGATGTTTTATATATAACTTATTTAGGCATAATGCGAACTCCAAACTTAAGTATGTTCATGCTTATGTCAAATTAGTATAGAAACTTTTAACTATTTTTATTTTAAGTAAATACTATTTAAAAGATATTCATGATCGAAGAAAATGAAAGTTTTTATAGCAAGTTTAATTTTATATTAAACATTTATCAAAACTTACCTGTCCTTAATAACCTCTTTGTAGATTAATCAATTCAAAACCTCTCTCTCCCTTTTTTCTACTTAAAATTGTTTCCCTAATTTTTATAATAATATTTTTTACTAAGTAAATGTTTAATGAAAAAATATTTATTTAGTTTTTAAAACAGAGTTTTATAAAAATATTATTGCCATTTTATTATGCTGTAAAAAATATTAATTAGTAATAATCCCTGGTTTAAATTTGTTAGAACTTACATGAATATAATATTATAAAGGTTGCTTTATAAAATTACGAAAACTTCGTTCGTTAAAAAAAAAACCATTTTGGTTGTTGATTTTTTTTCTTTTCTGCGTAAGTTCAGCGCAACTCGTGTGCATTGCGCAACTCGTGTGCATTGCGCAACTCGTGCGCAATGCGCACTCCAGGGTGCGCAATGCAAGGTCCAGGGTTGTGTATTACACAA